CCTGACCTAGACTACTTCTTGCAACGAACCGAGGAAACACGACAAATGACGAGATACAGAATACGCAGCCAACAGCATATCGATTCCTACCGGTACAATCAGCATCGTCCCGTAGTGCATTATCAGCCCGGCGACAAAGTATGGATATGGACCCCAGTGCATCGCCGTGAACTTTCTGAAAAACTTCTTCGCCGATACTTCGGGCCTCACAAAGTACTCCATCGTGTAAGCAATGTAACGTACCAAGTGAAATCCGCTATACACGGGAGCTCAAAACGCCGCAACCCTACAGAGGTTGTACATGTAGCCCGGATGAAGCCTTACTATGAAAGACCATCGAAAAACCAGTGACGCATACCGATAATATATTCATTGCCTGACGCATCGGGACGATGCGCATGAGGAGGGGAATTATGCCGCGACATCTTGCCTGCATTCAAACAACGCGCCCATCACCGCGCGCACAGGGGCACACTTGTGCGCAGTCTTGTGTTGCGCAGAGACGACGATGGCATGAGCACCCAGCTGGACCCGCCGGATGTGCGCCACGTGCTCGGGACTTCTGGTGAAAAAGAAAGAAGGCAGCTGAAGGACATCTTTGGTGTGCGACTGACACGTAGTTCTACGGCCATAGTCACTTTAAGTTGTGGGCACAGGTTCGCCCTTTCAATAAATACGTTTTATTATACCCCCGAGTCCTTCAACATCGCTACAATATAACCATTTCTGGTGCCACCGCACCCTGTAGTGCATATAACCTCGTTCTTCTTTTTATTAGGATAGGAACTACATGGGCACTTAACGGGTTTTCACCGTCATCGCCATGTCCCGTGTAAACTACAGGTTGGTAACATTTTCCGCGTATACGTTCTACCTGCACGTAAAATTGTGCTAGCCGGGGTGGTGAGCGCTGCCCAAGCGGATATTAAACGAGGCAGCCGATCTCCGTCGCATCGCTTGGATGGTGCACGCGATACTACGCCGTCAAATGCTCAAGTATGGAGGAAACAGGCCGCCCATCTTGAACAAGCATGAAAAAATACGCGGCGGAAAGGGGGGACAGAGAGGGGTCACTCGAGCGGCATCGGTGATCTTTCGTGAGGTTGACGAAGGCAGCAGCCGCTGTTTTCATGAGTGAACCTTGTATGGGCAAACTTGTGCCCAGAAAACAAAACGTCACTCTACAAGCAATATAAGCTGTAGACTGATAGCTGCAAACCAGAGCGTCGGCCGTCGATAATCTGCCAAGCAGCAAAGTGCATCGGCATTTATACATGTGCCATCGAAGATTCCCGCGTAACTGTTATCGATAGCTGCTGTGTAAGTTCCAGAACAAACTCTAATATACATGTTATGCGTGTAATCTCATCGCGAGGTTTTAAGATTATCTAGATTGTTCCCAGTCATCTGAGAGCAGATTGTGCAAGGCAGTGTTACACGCGTAATGGTGCGGTAGCAAAAATACAAAGCGCGTGTGACATTACCATTACAAATGTTTGCTATTGCCATCCTCACTTCATTGGTGAAACTGATTTTTTTTTCAGTTTATATGGTTTGGCTAACAGCTTTGCTGCTAAAACATACATAGAGTCGCATAATGAGCTTTGCAAACAAACACCACCTTAACAAGATTTATGCATGAACCGAAATACAACGTCACCGAACTAATTTGATATGGATGCGGTTGCGCCCTTCAGCCCACGCGTGTTGCTCGGTTAATGATAAAACTCGGCTACATTTGGCGTTGCACATGCAAATTGCCATTTAGGCGCAGCAGGTCAGATTGGCGCAGAATGGTGCAAATGGCACAGCACTTCCACCCCTGCTTTATCACTGCTGACAAGGTCGCATGTACCTTACCTGCCATATGCAGTAAAATTGGCTGAACAAAATTCTAAAAAACATGCACTCCTCCTCCCTCTTACATGGAAAACCTGTACCTCAGTGAGTGGGATTAACATTTTCTTTGAAAGAGGTGCACAGTTCACCTTGAGCTACTGCAGTAATGTGGCAAGAAGATGCTGTTGCTGTGGCCCACGTCTCGGCAGCAGTATTTTGCTGTGAGAATGCTGGTAAGTCCATCATAAGTGGCACTAACACTAACTGCTAAGCACTGATTTGAGACTCCTGCTTGAAATGGTTGCTGTGCTGTCTTAGTTCAACTACCTCTGAGCGGAGAACCTTTGCTGTTATTTCGATTTCACTAATGCAGCGGGGACCTGCTTTGAAATTGAGAGCAAACACTTCTAGGACAGGTTGAAGATGCTTGCTAGATGTTCGAAAGCTTTGTTATTGTTTTGTAGGTGCACGAGTGGTGGCTAGGAAGAACATCCACCGATGTCAATGAACTGCATGACGCAATCTACGTACAGTAGACTTCCTTCAAGATGAACTTGAAGGGACCACAATCATTTGATTGATATGTGGGGTTCAACGTCCCAAAACCACCATATGATTATGAGAGACATCGTAGTGGAGGGCTCCGGAAATTTCGAACCCCAGGAGTTCTTTAATGTGCACCCAAATCTGAGCACACGGGCCTACAACATTTCCGCCTCCATCGGAAATGCAGCCGCCACAGCCGCGATTCGATCCCGCGACCTGTCGGTCAGCAACCGAGTACCTTAGCCACTAGACCACCGTGGCGGGGCGATCACAATCGTTTGTTCGTCTTGTCAGAAGTTTGTCTAATCATAAGTGCCCCCAGAAACTAAATGCTAACATGCCAAGTACGCCAAAATATGTTGCTTGAGAACACTGAATGAAATATAGTTATAATGCAGAGGAAAAATAAAAAAAAAGCATTTATTTGGCCCAGCTTGATAAAAATTATGCTTTCAAGTAAGAGTATTTAGACTAATCTAATGAGTACTCTATTTTGCGTGTTCATATAATAATGCTTATAATAAATTGCTATCACAATTTAATGATAAAACTGTTGCACAACCCTATTTTCATTATTAGAAAAAGATGAAAATGGAAAGACAAGCACATTTTATTCCAAAGAATAGAAGATTTATTCTTCTGGCTGTTCACCTTCTACAAAGCTGTTTTACTGGTTTTGCTATCACTTCTGGAACAACCTCCATTGTATACCACTCGCTAGCTTGACAAAGCCAATATACACGTCAAATTGCTAATAAAAGTCTGCAAGGTTTTCATGGGATTGGAATATTTTCTTATTTTCAGCCCGCAGTAACATTTACTAAACGACCTGCAGCTGAAGATCACCGTTTATGCTACTCACAATCACAGGCCTCGGGCACACAAAAAAAGACACGACGCAGCTATATTCAGTGTGCAAAATGACAAGCTTCCTTTGTCATGCACTTTCATAATGAAAATGATGCATCACAATTTGCTGTATTTCACTGGGAACAGATACAATGCACAGAGGCCCTATGCAAAACAATGCAAACTGACCACAATATGTGCTCTAGTACCATTGTGTGATGAGGATGACAATGTATCTGACTCCTCTGATGGGAGTGCTAGTGCTGCATATGTGGTTTCTGTTTCCCGTGATTACAATATACACACCATATTTGTTTGCGTTTTCACTTTCATTTGGCTTTTTTTTTACACCCCTTCAATTGCATTTTTCCCTCAAGCCAAGCTTTTGTGTTCTTCTGTTGTCTGCTGCACTCTTATTGGGGAACTGAAGAAGACAAGGGGAATGCGAAAGGACGAATGCGTTTTGTTGCTTTTTTTATTGATAAAGCCAGCCTTTTCTCTACTTACAGGCTAGAGGTGAGGGAGATGTTGTCTGCTGCACTCTTATTGGGGAACTAAAGAAGACGAGGAGAATGCGAAAGGACGAATGCGTTTTGTTGCTTTTTTTACTGATAAAGCCAGCCTTTTCTCCACTTACAGACTAGAGGTGAGGGAGATACCAGCTATATGCACTGACCTTTCTTTTTCACTCATCTCACTTTCTTCTTCCATGTTGCAATTTACTTTCTATTTCCTTTGAGTCGTTGTGCCAGGAAGCTTTTTTGTTGTTGTTTTGCTTTCTCTTGTTCGCCTGAATGCCCCCATAAGGACTTAAATGTTCATTGAACAGAATCACCATTGTTGTTGGTAACTGCGATAGTTTGCCTTAACAGAGGAGGCCTGTTACGTGGTTTATCTTAAGCATATTTTTTTGCATCAAGTCCATGGGAAATCAAACAAACAAGAATTCGGCTTAACAGAGTTCATCTCACTAAGAGTTTACTGTAGTTTGTACACGATTTCTTTCATATGCTTTGTTTCAACTAGGAGATCTCCACTTTCCTAGTTATAATTATAAAATGTAAATCCACCTTTATTATTACAGTCTTTGTCACAGTCTGGTGAATTTCTTTACTTAAGTTAGACACTGTTGACTAATGATCAGCTTCCTCTCTGACTCAGTAACGCTGCCGATCATGATATACATTAGTTGTAGTAGCATTCTCAATTTGATACTAACAACAAAACCAGGCTTCTCTATTGCAACCTCCCCCCCCACCCTACTAGTTCTTAAAAGTAATACTTCGAAATTGTCCCAAATAGTCAATGTGGCATAGTTTTAGTGCCATCAGTACATAAAAAATCTTTCAATTTTTCAACTCTCTCTTTGCCCAGCAAAAACTGTTAAAGGTATGCAGGAAATGAATATGCATGTAAACCTTGGTAGTGTTAGTCGGCACCACTCTATGAGTGATGCTAACACTGCCAAGGTTTTCATGCATATAAATACTCAATAAGTGGACTAGAGGACGACAACTGCTGTAACTCAGTTGCTAGGAGCTTAGGGTGTGTAATCCTAAACCAAAGGTTACAGGTATGGTATCCGCTAGCGGCAAGATCGTATTCTCATCTACTTTACATTTTTTGTATTTATATCACAATTATTAGAATACTCTTGAAATTGTACAATTATTATTCTTTATACCTTCCTTGACATCATTATCAGCTGGTTTTCATTGTGGCAAAGTACATACATCATGAATCTCTATGATCCAACAGATACTTACTTTTGCTAGCCAGACGGAATCCTCCCATTGGCCAGCTGCCTGAAGGTAACGACAGGCATCAAGGCCTTTGCCAATGAGACAAAGCAGCTGAACACCATCCCATGTGCGACCATTCGCAATCAGGTTTGTGGCAACCAGCTTCACGACTGACTGCGGATTGCTTTCAGTTTTGAGTGACGCCACTAAACAAGCCCTAGACAATCAGGAAAGACAGTTGTATAAATTGCAAGCACTCACTATTAAATTGAAAAAAATTTCACAGGCACTTCAGTAATACAAAGATCAGAGCTTAAATCAAAAACCCGTACTTTATGCAGCACTACCGGGGAGAACTTATATGTAAGGACTGCTATTTAGAGTAACACTGATATATGGTTTAGAGTAACGAGCATACAATGCTTTGTATGCTCGTTCTTCTTCTTCTTCTTATTATTATTATGTCACATGCATGCGATTACAAGTGCACTCTATCGTCGTGTAAGATTTCCGTGTTTTGCATTGAATAGCAAGCATTGTTCTTGAATAGTATTTTGATAATTTATCCCTTCTTCGGCCTATATGCAATGCTTTGTAATATATCTACTGATCTTTGAAATGATGTATGATTGTGTTTAGATGAAATGATTCCTTCTTTCTTGGTGATTTGTATAAAGTACTTTGAAATAAAACATTAGTTGCAAGTTAACGCTGTGTGTGTGTGTCTCTTCTGCGTCCTTGTTGTAGGGCGCTATACGCATAAGAATGATAGCACCAGTGGCACATGCCATTGTAAACGACTAGAAAACGACTCGCCTACAAATGTGAAAGTGTGCCTGGAAGTAAACAATGCAAGAGATGCAGACATTGCACAGCATGTGCTGTCGCATCGCTCTAGCAGATGTTGCTGCAAACTGCCCGAGGGCGAGAGTAGTGAGGATTTTTGTTGATTTGTGACTTGTTTCAATACATAGCAGTATCCCTTATAATGAAAACAATAGTTCAAAAATAGTATGACCACTGCTTTAGGCAACAGTGAATTAATTTGCAAGTCACTGGTACTGAGGCTGCACACTTCATTGCAGCAAAGTGATTTGGGGAACACACTTGCCAACAAGTCTACTTTGCAGCAAGTGACACATAACATTCTCGTGTGACAGCCCGCAAAAGACACTCACAGCAATGTGTACTCGCTCAAAGTGCATTTAAGGTATGAGGCCAAGTGACGAAAAATTTTTTTCAGAAAGCAGTAATAACTAGAAACTATTAATCTACAAAATAAAGCACATTTTTTTAGGCACATATGAGTGTTATAAACACAGTAATATTATATAATAATTTCTTATAATTAAACATTTCATTTAAAGTACGCCTTACTGAAACACTCCTAACACAAGCTCTGCTCATTAGAAAATTTTTTAGTTTTTTACAGGCATATATAAAATGCTTTGGCCTGTGCAATAAACCAAAAGAAACAGGATTTGATGAATAGTAAAATCATAGTAAATAAATAGCCAAATAAGTATGCACTAACACTAAGGGCACCTTCATATAATAGGCAGCCATAATAAATCTTGTGGCAGGATTTTGCTCATTTAGGTTCATAGCGTACCTCATAATGGACAAAAATGTGTGCAAATTTTTAACGAAATATCTTGATTAGCAAAAGCGCTATGACTGTTCGCACACGAGAAAATGTCAGAAATGTAAGATTTGAGAAAAATAACAAAACAGATTTGAAACAGGTGCACTGCTTACACAAAATACTCGGGAGGGCTATAATTCTCAATATTTGTAGCCAGTTCCATCATAGACCTTACTATTGCATGTGTGCGGAGGTTTATTAGCCGTTAAAGACAGTGACGAGACAGCGTGAAGAACCGTCCAGCGATCGGCACAGCAACGAACCGAAGCACGAGCCGAGAGAGCCGGGCGTTGGCGATGCTGCTTGCTGCAGGCACATCTTCTTCTTCACAATCGCCCCCGCTGAAAAAAGAGCCATCCTGGCGACCTAAGAAGTTTCAGGGAGAGGCTCATGATACGGTTTTAGGCGGGAAACATGGACGATGTCACGTGCACGCCGGCGCATGTCATCCGATCGGGAAACTGGCTCAATTAGGTAATTAACCGGAGAGGTTTTCTCTAAAACAGTGTAAGGCCCCTCGTACCGGGGGACAAGTTTTGATGAAAGTCCCGGAGTTTGGTATGGGATGGCAAGCCACACGAGAGACCCTGGGGCATAGTTGGGATCCGGAAGAGAGGTGCAACGGTTTTCTTTCTGGCGTTGCTGCTCGTCCGAGGTGAACGCACGGGCGAGCTGGCGGCACTCTTCGACTTGTCGAGCAGCATCGGAGATAGGTGGACATTCGGAAGCATCAGGACGGTAGGGAAGTAGAGTATCAATTGTATGGGAAGGGTCACGTCCATAAAGAAGAAAGAAAGGTGAAAATCCCGTGGTTGTTTGTATTGCAGTATTGTATGCAAATGTCACGTATGGAAGAACACGGTCCCAGTTGCTATGATTAGATGCCACGTACATTGAGAGCATATCACCCAGCGTGCGGTTAAACCGTTCCGTTAGCCCATTAGTCTGCGGGTGGTATGCTGTCGTTTTCCGATGAATGACGTGGCATGCCGAAAGCAGAGCTACGACGAACTCGGGGAGAAAAGCGCGGCCTCTGTCACTAAGGAGCTCTCGAGGTGCGCCATGTCGAAGGATAAATTGACGTAAAATGAAAGAGGCGACATCCTGAGCGGTAGCGCTCGGTAAAGCGGCTCCTTCGGCGTAGCGTGTTAGATGGTCGACCGCCACTATAATCCACCGATTGCCATCTGATGTCAATGGAAGGGGGCCGTAGAGGTCAACGCCAACGCGATCAAGAGGCTTGGCAGGGCACGGAAGTGGCTGCAGTTCACCAGTAGCACGTAGCAGTGTTGATTTGCGTCGCTGGCAGTCAGGATAGCACTGCACAAATTTGCGCACGAAATTGTACATGCCGCGCCAGTAATAGCGATGGCGAAGGCGTTCATATGTTTTGAACACCCCGGCGTGGCCACATTGTGGATCGTCGTGAAGAGAAGCGCATACCTGCGATCGCAAAGTGCGTGGAATGACCAGTAGCCACCGGCGGCCACCAGGAGAGTAGTTGCGTCGATGGAGAAGTTGATCGCGGATGGCAATATGGAAAGCTTGACGTCGGAGGGATCGAGATACCGGAAGGTTGGGCGTACCGGATAGATATTCGAGAAGAGATGCGATCCACGGGTCACGACGTTGTTCGGTGGCAATTGAGTCAAGATTTAACGATGACAAGTACTGGAGGCACGTGTTTCCGTACGTCAGATCTGGTGGCAAAGGTGAGCGGGACAGGGCGTCAGCGTCAGAGTGTTTGCGTCCACAGCGGTATACGACGCGAATGTCGTACTCCTGGATGTGGAGTGCCCATCGTGCAAGGCGGCCAGAAGGGTCTTTCAGCGTGGAGAGCCAGCAAAGCGCGTGGTGATCAGTTACTAGATCGAACGGGCGGCCGTATAAGTACGGCCGGAACTTTCCAAGCGCCCACACCAGAGCCAAACACTCTGTTTCTGTCACGCTGTAATTAGTTTCGGCTTTCGTCAGAGTGCGGCTAGCGTAGGCTACAACGTTTTCTGAATAGCCGGGTTTTCGTTGGGCGAGGACAGCACCTAGCCCGACGCCGCTGGCGTCGGTGTGCACTTCAGTAGGAGTCGTCGGGTCGAAGTGGCGAAGAATAGGTGGCGAGGTGAGCAGACGGCGCAGAGTAGTGAAGGCAACGTCACATGCAGGGGACCAGGAGGAGAGGTTCACGTCACCGCGAAGAAGCTGAGTTAATGGTGACATGATAGATGCAAAATTGCGAACAAAGCGCCGAAAATATGAGCATAGGCCTACAAAACTGCGAAGTTCCTTCATGGTCGTCGGCTTGGGAAATTCTGCGACTGCTCGAAGTTTTGCTGGGTCAGGTAATACGCCGTGCTTCGACACGATGTGGCCTAGGATGACAAGCTCGCGTGCAGCAAAGCGTCATTTTTTCAGGTTAAGCTGCAGGCCAGCGTTGGTCAGACAAGTCAAAACCTGCCTGAGGCGAAGGAGGTGCGTAGGAAAGTCATGCGAGAAAACCACGACATCGTCGAGGTAGCAGAGGCACATATTCCACTTGAGGCCACGTAGCGTATTATCCATAAGTCGTTCAAACGTGGCGGGCGCGTTACAAAGCCCAAAGGGCATGACGTTAAACTCGTATAGTCCGTCAGGTGTAATAAATGCAGTTTTTTGGCGATCGGCTTCAGCCATTGGAACTTGCCAGTAGCCAGACCGCAAATCCAGCGACGAGAAGAATTCCCCTCCGTGAAGGGTGTCAATGGCGTCATCAATGCGCGGCAAAGGATATACGTCCTTGCGGGTTATCTTATTCAAACGACGTTAGTCCACGCAAAATCGGATAGATCCGTCTTTCTTACGCACCAGGACGACAGGAGACGCCCAGGGACTGTGAGACGGTCGAATGACGTCTCTACGAAGCATATCTTCGACTTGATCGTTGATGACGCGGCGCTCTTCAGTGGAGGCACGGTATGGCCTTTGACGCAGTGGCTGGTGTAGGCCGGTGTCAACATGATGCTTGACTTGCGACGTGCGGCCTAGTTGAGGTTGGGACACATCGAAGGAATTCCGGAACTCATGCAGAAGATCGAGCAGGTCGGCATGTTCGGTGGGAGTGAGGGTGTCGGCGATGGCGCTGGAAAACGTATCCTTGGACGACTCCTCGAGAGCCGACAGTGATTTTGGGTGGTCGCAGTAGTCATCCGGGACATCAACCAAAGACGAAGGGTCGAGATCCTGCACGCGGCCGAGACATTCCCCCGCAAGCAAAGTGACAGGTGTGGAAAGCGGGTTGAGTATGAACATATTGCTTCTTCCGGCGGCAAGGTCAATCGTTGCGAAAGGCAGCGGCAGAGCTCGACGACTCGTGAAGATATCGGAAGGCATAAAAAAGACTGTAGCGTCAGTGTAGGTGTTGCATGAAACTGGAACAAGTGCGAAGTTTTCGGGTGGAATATCGGTGTCTTCATGCACGAACAACTTCGGCGGCTGATGAAGAGCGTCAAGTAATGGGACATCACAAAAGGGTGAAAACTCAACTTCAGCGCGTGCGCAGTTGATGACGGCATTATGGCGGGATAGGAAGTCCCATCCGAGGATAACATCATGCGAACAGACAGCGAGAACAATAAACTCCACAGTGTAAACAATGCCTTCGATGGACACTCTTGCAGTGCAAGCTGCGAGAGGCGTTACTTGCTGTGCACGTGCGGTGTGGGGTGACAGTCCCGAAAGCGGCGTCGTGACTTTACGTAATACACGGCAGACATTAGCGGCAATAACAGAAACAGCGGCGCCGGTGTCTACAAGGGCGAAAGTAGAATAACCTTCAACAGTTACTGCGACCACGTTAGCAGGAGAGGGGCGAGGGCTTAGACAGTTCGAAAATGGCGCAGTTCTTGCCTCTTGAACTGCGGTGCTTAGTTTTCCTGGTCAGAAGGTCTGGGCCGGCGACGCATTGGGGAGGGCGATCGCCGACGAGGAGAGGGTGCGCGCGGCGTCACGAAGTCGGGGTCGTTAGGAGGGGCATAGCGAGGTGACGAGACCGGCCCGTATTGCGCGAAGGGTTGGCTGCCGGGTTGCGACGATCGGACATAGGCGCCGAACATCTGAGGTCGACGGCGGCAGTAGCGGGCAACGTGTCCGGGAGTAAAGCAGGCGTAGCATTTCGGTCGGTTATCGGGCGTCCTCCAAGAATTGGCTACTGGTGGTGCCGCCCAAGGTGCAGTATAAGCAGCCGGGTGTGCGGGCTGTGAGCGCGAGGTGTAGGGTGGTTGCGGAAGCCTACGCACAGCGTCTGCATATGTGAACGGCGCTGCTACAGGCTGCATCACTTGCGAGCAGGCGACAGGAGGAGCCACAGACTGCGCTGTATACGTTAGGGGCGCGGCCAGAGGCTGCACGGCTGGCGGATAGGCGACAGGAGGGCCTACCGGCTGCGCGGCACGCTGGCAGTGGGCAAGGCTGGATAGAGGCGGCTCGTGGTGCGCAACAGGAACAGCTTGGGCAACCTCTTCCGAAATAGCAGTGCGAAGTGGGGCAGGTAGACGGGTGATGGTCTCGTGAGTGAAAGGCACTAAGAAAAGTTGGCGGGCGACTTCCTCACGGACAAAGGCTCGAACTTGCTGAAGCAGCGGTAAATTGTCCGGCAGGGTGTCGAAACTGGACAGTGACTCACCACCATGCTGAGGCTGCCGAGTCAGAGTGCGTTGCTTCTTCAACTCGTCGTAGCTCTGACACAAGCTGACGACTTCGGAAACTGCGCTAGAATTTCTTGCCAAGAGCATTTGAAATGCGCCGTCGTCGATGCCCTTCAGGATGTTTTTGATCTTGTCAGATTCGGGCATGGTGTCATTCACACGTCGACAAAGGTCGACGACGTCCTCGATATAGCTGGTAAAGGTCTCGCCAGTCTGCTGAGAGCGGACGCGCAAGCGTTGTTCTGCCCTCTGCTTGCGGACAGCCGGCCAACCGAACACTTCAGCACATGACGTCTTGAAGACGCTCCATGTGGGGATGTTGTGTTTGTGGTTATTAAACCACAATTCAGCGACGCCAGTCAGATAAAATATCACGTGGCCCAGCTTGTCGGCTTCATCCCACTTATTGTTGGCGCTCACCAGTTCGTAGTGCTCGAGCCAGTCTTCGACGTCGGTCCCATCCGCACCGCTGAAGACCTTTGGCTCCCGTAGCCTAGGATGGCCAGGGCAGTTGAACTGGAGCGAAGGCGTCGATGTAGTGGCGTTGGTAGTCATGACAGGTGGTAGCGTGCGGCTTCGCAGCTCCAGGGTGTAGCAACGGCGATTAACAGCACCTTTTACCAAATGTGCGGAGGTTTATCAGCCGTTAAAGACTGCGACGACACAGCGTGAAGAACCGTCCAGCGATCGGCACAGCAACGAACCGAAGCACGAGCCGAGAGAGCCTGGCGTTGGCGATGCTGCTTGCTGCAGGCACATCTTCTTCTTCACACATGTATTTTCTCTAGCGGGAAGTCTAATTTTTTTTTTTAGCTTGTTTTGCAGCAACAGTAGCATGACGAGGCGCTCTCACGCTACGATGTCGATTATCCATGAGGCACGCTCTTTCAATGTAGAGAGTCAGGATCGATCCCAATTAGCCTTAAAATATCAAATGTGCTTCTGTTGCCATTATTAAAGTCATGAAAATTGTTAGACAAAGCAAGTTTGATAGTTTACAGGCTCACATAGGTGTCTTTGACCATGAAAAACCCAATTATTACGCTACGTGTTCCCCTGATAAGAAGATTTTGACTTTTACGACTAAAAATGATGCGTTGACCGCGTTTTCAGAACATTATTAAAAGTTCGCTTTTGATATAAGTGCTAAATAACCAACCAAATACTACATATCAATAATCCTATGATTGACACATAATTGGCGCTTTCAGTTTCGATTCCATAGATGATGGGTGGCTGAACATTTTTGCTCGAATCTTTGGAAAGAAACTGCTTAAATGGAAGTTTTATGCAGCAAAATGATGGGCAATAAATTGGGCATTTAACATAACCAAAAATCCGATAATGACATTTTTAGCAAAAAATCATTTTTTTCACTTGGCCTGACACCTAAAGTAGCCATGTGTGACAGGGGTGTAAAGTGAGCCCTAACATGCCACCCGTACATTGTCACTATAACCACATATGATATAACCTAGTTAGGTTGGTTATCTAACACAGGGTTAATCCTTGCCGCTGGAAAAACTTGAAGTAAATGGAAGTGATGAAAGAACAGCTAAGATTAATAAGGAGAAAAAGACGAAGATGTAAGGACAGAGAGAAAAAGGAAAAGGCAACTGCCCATATCCCCTGGGTGGGTTAGCCCAGGGGTGCCATCTACTTGAAGCCGGGGCCACAGGTGTGTGTTGCTTCTGTTGGGGACCTTAACAGTTCAATCACTGGGCGTCAGCTCAACCCCCAGAATACCCTTTTCCTAGCACACGGCAATGCCCTGCACGGCTGGGCGTGGGAGGGGTCCACATGTCCCTGTTAGCTCGGGTCTGTGGTGTTTCTACACACAAAACGCCTGCTTGCGCAAATGCCCTTGAGGAAGAAGGGAGGGGGCAAGTATGGCACACCCGAATGAGGATCCGAAACAATACTTACCGCAGTGAATCACTGTAGAAGTGCTCACTAGCTGGCTCAGTTTCAAGCAGCAGCTGCACTGCCTGGTCAGCCTGACCCAGAAGGAGCAAACGGCACACGCATCGCTGTGTGTGGCTGTGTACCGCGCGCTGTCGCTCATGAAAAAGCAGCCGCTTGAGCTGTAAGGCCTGCACAGAATGCAATGCACATGATATATAAAACTCATCTCCTAACGAGATGCACGAACCAGGCTAGACTGCCTTCAAAATGGTTTCATCAAATTCTTATCAAAGCTTATAAAAAATTGTAAAAGAAAACCTCACTCTTTTTATTTAAGTTTCTCTTCCATAAAAACAACAGCTACAATGGCATTATTTCAATCTTTATAATCTGTAGTTTTGTGCAGATTACCATAAAATGCCAAGCAAGTGCCCCCCCCTCCTTTTGGTGAAGTATAATCGGACCAGATTTGGGAAGGGGGCATTTCCTCAGTCCCAAACCGATCATTGGCGCTTATTTCAGATCTCTGTAAAAAAAAAAAGAAGGGGGGGGGGGGGGGGCACTTGCTTGGGTGAATATGCTTGCTCGGTATTTTACGATTGGTAAGTTCTATGCTTGTGAAACATACAGTTAAGTTTAATTTTTGCTTGTTGTCGTTAATTTATGATCTCTCATTTGAAGGTCAGCAAGGATGACAGAAGCCAGACAAGCAGTCATGAAGGCTGATTTTGGTTTTTAAGTGAACGGTACAATATCAAAGCTTAAAGAATAGTCACAAAAGATACAGCATATATATTACACCATCTTACTCCTCTACTACCTTACAGAGCTAGGAAGAATGAGACACAAGTCCTTCATAGGGTTAGGGTGTCCAGAATGGGGAGGTGTGAAAAAAGGCAACAGAAACCCAGAAACCGTTTTTTAAAAAAAATATTTTAGCAAAAGCCGGTCCCAAAAGTGCACCGATGCCGCAAGGGGCTCTGTACGCAGGGGCGCGTGGCGTTGAGCAGACGACTTATAGCGCAGCCTTGCAATGCTCGAGGAACATGGCTCGCGCTATATTTTGCGTGCTACACATTCAAACGCTAATCTTTATTTCTAAGCGTGTGCAATAATAAGAGATTGACTTGATGCTTTTTTTTTCAAATAGAGTACATTCAAATGCTAATCACTATATCTAAGTGTATGCAATAATAAGAGATTGCCTTCATCCATTTTTTTTCCAAATAGAGTTCACATGCAGTAAAATGCAGCAGGCTGCATACTGAGTAGCATTGCGTACTAGTTATATCGTTTAAAGCATGTTGGGCATGCCGCTAAATTTCGGCAAAGTGTTTCTTTTTTTTTTCTGTCCTGCCATTTTGATAATTGCAATTATGCATCACTGGAGATTATCGAAGTCATATTCAATGCTTATTGACATTATGAAAAACTTGGCGGCTTTTTTGGACCTGTTACTATCCCCTGGCTGCTGCTCAAAGCGTTTGTATGTTTTTTCAGCAGAAAAAAAATGACATTAGTTGAAAAGAAAATATATTTATTTGCGAAGCAACTTCCTTTTATCGTTGTGATGTAATAATTGTTGGGGTTTAACGTACCAATACTACTATATGATTATGAGAGCTGCCGTAGTGCAGGGCTCTGGACACTAAATTAACGAGCCTGAAGCATTTTCCTATCCATCAAAAATGCGGCCACCGTGGCTGGGATTTGATACCGCAATCTGTGAGTCAGCAGCAGACTGATGTGTGCAATAAAAAGAAGGCTACAGAACACAGGACTTAATTCGCCTGCATAGGTTTTTTTCATTGCTTCTTTTGGTTGATTTTATTTATAAATGAATGCAATGAGTTAAGCAAAAATTATAAGCATGTAACTGATTACGTTGTTGAGACGCTTATTGGCGGACACTTGTCGATGATGCTTGACAGCGACAGTCAATGCGGGTACCCACTCTCTGCACGAATTGCTCTTCGTTTTGCTAAAAGGGCGACCCACTAGAAGGCGCTGGAGAAGACGACCCACTGTTCGAAGGCTTCGCCACAACTACCCCGGGTACGAAGAGGGAGCCGCCTGGCGACCTAACAGCTGGTTACTATGAGCGGGTCGTGGTAGGCTTTGAGGAGCTCCACGTTGACAATGGCGCACCCTCGACGGCGCATGTTCGAAGGTGGTTCGATGGGTTCGATCAAGTAATTTACAGGGGAAGTGCGTTCGACGACACGGTAGGGGCCTTCGTATTTGGGCAATAGTTTTGAAGATAGGCCAGTTGAAGTGCTAGGAATCGAGAGCCAGACGAGCGCTCCAGGGAGGAACGTGGGCGCAGTAGTGCTGGTGTCAGCGCGAATGCCTTTTTGCCGCTCTTGATCATGCGCTGTAAAGGTCCTTGCAAGCTCTCAACACTCTTCAGCAAGCTTGGCTGTAGCAGAAATAGGTGCCCACTCGGACGGATCTGGCTTGTACAGAAGTATAGTGTCGATGGTGTGCGACGCGTGCCTTTCATATAATAAAAAGAAAGGTGAAAAGCCAGTAGTGCTCTGAGGGGCGGTGTTATATGCGCAGGTGACGAAAGGTAGAATGGCATCCCAATTTGTGTGATCGGCGGCGACGTACTTGGAGAGCATGTCACCAAGCGTACGGTTGAAGCGTACGGTTGAAGCGTTCAGTGAGGCCATTCGTCTGCAGGTGGTAAGCAGCAGTTTTGCGGTGAACAACGTTGCACTCTGAGAGTGGCTTCGACGACTTCAGACAGGAAGATGCGGCCTCGATCACTGAGCAGTTCCTGAGGTGGACCGTGTCGCAGCATGAATCGTTGGAGCAGGAAAGAGGCCACATCGCTCGCTGTAGCCACGGGGAGAGCGGCAGTTTCGGCGTATTGCGTGAGGTGGTCCACAGCAACAATGGCCCAGCGGTTACCAGCCGACGTTAGTGGAAGTGGCCCATACAAATTGATGCCAATGCGCCCAAACGGCCTGGCAGAGCAAGGTAGAGGTTGCAGACCTACCGGCGACAGGTCAATTGAAGTTTTCGGCGCTGACATTCTATGCAGGAGCGAACGGATTTCTGCACGTAGCGGTACATGCTGCGCCAAAAGTACCGTTGGCGACTGCGGTGGTAAGTCTTCGTTACCACGAGTGCGCACATTGCGGATCAGAAGAAAGAATTCGCTATGTCAAGCGCAGACTGCGGGTGTATGACTAGTAGCCACTGGCGGCCGTCACCGTTGTAATTGCGTCGGTGGAAGAGGTCGTCGCGAACGGCAAAATGGGGGGCTTGATGACGCAACGTGCGAGTGGATGGATCAGTCAGCAAGTCTACCAGTGAGGCAATCCATTCATCCTTGCGCTGTTTCAGTAGCAACGGCATGAATGCTAATGGAAGAAAACGGCAGAGGTGAGACGCTGAGTCGTGGGCATTGTCGTCAAGCAAGGGAGAGCGCGACAGGGCGTCGGCGTCACCATGTTGCCTTCCGTTGCGGTATAGCACGCGTATGTCGTAGTCTTGCAGGCAAAGTGCCACCGGGCGAGATGGCCTGAGGGATCTATTCAATGACGACAACCAGCATAGGTGCATGAGGGTCTGTGACTACATCAATGGGCGACCATACAATAAGGTCGGAACTTGGTAAGGGCCCAGATGATTGCCAGACATTCTTTCTCAGTGACGATGTAATTAGTCTCGGCTTTTGTAAGCGTACGGCTTGCATACGCCACGACATATTCCGGGAACCCTGGTTTGCGCTGCGCAAAGACAGCGCTGAGACCAACACCACTGGCGTCTGTGTGTACCTCTGTAGGGGCCGTAGGGTCGTAGTGGCGGAGTATGGGAGGCGACGTCAACAAACGACGAAGTGTTGTGAATGCGTCGTCACACTGTGATGACCACGAATGGAGAGGCCCGTTACTTTCCGAGGAGCTTAGGTGAGCGGCGATACGATAGACGCGAAGTTCGGATGAAGCGCCGAAGGTAGAACACAGTCCTATGAAACTGCGCAGGTTCCTTGACTGAGTCGGCCTTGGGGAACTCGGTCACGCTCGAAGCTTGGTGGATCGGGGAGAAATTCCGTCCCTTGGACACGACGTAGCCGAGTACGTGTCGGCTTGGGAACTCGGTCACGTCCTTGGACACGACGTAGCCGAGTATTGTCAACTGCCGAGCTGCAAATCGGCACTTCTTTAGGTTCAGTTGCAGACTGGCGTCACTCAGACGCGTTAAAACATGTCGCAGGCGTTGAAGATGCGTGGAGAAGTCCGGAGCGAAAACAACGACGTCATCGAGCTAGCACAGGCACGTGTGCCATTTCAGGTAACGGCATGACGTTGAATTCGTACAAGCCGTCCGGAGTGACAAAAGCGGTCTTCGGTCGAGCGCCCTCAGCCATAGGCACTTGCCAGTACCCTGAGCGCAAATCGAGAGATGAAAAGAATGCAGGCTGTCAATCGCGTCAACTACACGCGGTAGTGGCTGCACGAGCTGCTCTTCGTTTTGCTAAAAGGGCGACCCACTAGAAGGCGCTGGAAAGGACGACCGACTGTTCGAAGGCTTCGCCACAACGTTAACATAAGTATATGCTCACAGCAGCTGACCTGCGACATTCGCCCAATCTTTTGATACATGTCAGCAAGAGGCTGTGTGAATGCACACGGTCTAAAGAAAATTAGGCGACCCTTAAGCTTCGCCTTATAGTTGAATGCGATTGCAAAATCAGGTTCCTGGTGTGCCTTTCAACCGCTCAGTGCATACTTATTAATATGTTTTGTCACACACACATAAACATGCACACACACACAAGCACACAGTAGATTGTACCAGCGAGCACGTGCAAACGGTACATACAGGTTTTTGATCTAAAGAAAGAGTGGCATGGCCTCCAAAATACACGCCGCGCGCTTGCCATCTCGCAGGCCATAAAGAGTTTCACAATGTCTCACAGATAGCAGCACATTATCTAGCGTTTGTTTGCTTGATCAACACCTCTGGAAAGGCATGATATGTCTTCTGCTAGATGGACATAGTTGTCCAGTTTTAGCGGCGATAGATGCACTATCCCGGCCTTTTTCGACAAAGTTTGATGGCCTCCCAAATGCGCCTACAAATCGCTGAATGGGCTCGCTTTCGTTGTGACACCTGTCAAACAAAATGCGTTAAGGGAACTCCTTCCACTACATGGCATTTATGTAGTGTTTTT